CGTCTGCCAGCTGCAGAAGACACCCCCACCCCAGTGCCATTCCACGCCCCCATGCCCCCAATGCATGGAGCCAGACCAGACAGCCAGACAAGAAAGGGAGGGGGGGAGGAACCCTGCACCTTAAAAAGCAACTTCCCTGCCAGCTGAAAAGCCAACTTCCCTGCTTCCCTTATCAGAATATCAGAATAACATGAGTTGGAAGAGATCTTGTAGGTCATCTAGTCCAGGGACCACTGGTGGTCCGTGAAAATTTTTTGGTGGTCACCAGTTACCAGGTTCATATTACCACATGTGGTGGGAATGCCCTGAAGCAAAAAGCTACTGGAATAAAATTAAGTTATGGGTGGAGGAAATGATACAACAACGTATAGACTTAAAACCAGAACTATTCCTATTGGGTATCTTACCAGAGAAAATTAGTAAAGATAATGTGTATTTGATTATACATGTAATAACAGCAGCAAGGATTGTTTATGCACAAAATTGTAAAGCAGAGAATATACCATTGGAGGGAGAAGTAATTAAAAAAAAAAATTTAGATTGTGCAGAAATGAATAGATTAACTATGACGATAAAGGAAAGAGAGGATTCAGAATATTTTAAGATATGGAATAAATTTTACTATTGGTTACAAAAGAGATATAAATAAGTTTTAAAAGAGATTGAGGAAAAAATAATTCTTGTAATTAGAATATTATACTAATGGAAAACTTTTGTAATGGACTTGGTGAGATTAAAGATGGAAGAGATAGAGAAGAAATCTTTGAAAATAACACCTAAATGTCACATGGAAGAAATGAATGATGTATTAAATGTTTGTTTGTCTTAAAAAAAAAAAACACTTTATTAAAAAAAATTTTTTTTGGGTGGTCCGCAGAAAAATTATTTGAATTTTTTATATTGCACCAAATACTATCTTTCTAAAAAATTCGTATTAGTGGTCTGCGGGATTTAAAATTATGAATTTAGTGGTCCTTGAGGTCCGAAAGGTTGATGACCACTGATCTAGTCCAACCCCCCCCACCCACCCACCAAGGCAGGAAACCCTGCCTACACCATTTCTGACAGGGGCAGTCCAGTCTCTTCTTCCAAAGTTCTGTAGGCAGTCCTCGGTTTACGACCACAATGGAGTCCAAAATTTCTGTCGCTGAGCAAAATATGTTAAGTGAGTTTTGCCCCATTTGAAGCTGAGCCAGTTTTATGAAAATATTCTAGATAAGTCACAGCAAAGACCGCTGTGTTGAAAAGGCCCCCAACAACCACTTCAAAGGGAGGAGCAATCTCAAATCCAGGGAAGTAGGGAAGTTCTCGAGATGTTGAGGTCACTTCGAGAAGACCCCTTTTGAAGGCCTGGTACATTTGCCGCTTGGTGGAAGCCAAGGCCTCGTATGGAGCTCCAGAAGACCAGAAGCAGAGGAGAAGACCCCAAAGGTTGACCGACTCCTTCTTACTTCTTGCTCAAGTCTATAAGGTGCCTTAGATAGAAGAATCTATCTGGGGCTTTGTCTCTGCGGGTTTCCTGTTTGAAACTCCCCACCCCCCCCAAGTTTCTTCCCAAGGGAGCCTATCTGTAGAAGGGGGTGGGGGCAGTGGTGAAATGTAAAATTTGTTACTACCAATTCTGTGGGTGTGCCTTGGGGGTATTGTGACTGTGTGGGCGGGGCCAACCTTTTTTTTTCTTTTTAACTTTTAAAAGCATTTTTTCTACAACCTCTTTGGCTGAAGAGGTTGTAAAAGAAATGATTTTAAAAGCCTCTGCCGATCAGGCAACTCAGCTGGGATCATCAGAGGCTTTTAAAAGCATTTTTTTTCCTAAACCTCTTTGGCCGAAGAGGTGTAGAAAAAATACTTTTAAAAATAAAAAAAGCCTCTGATTGTGCGGCTCAGCTGGGCATGGGGGGTGGGGCAGGGATTTTTGCTACCAGTTCTCCGAACCACCCGCCTCCATCACTACCAGATCAGGCGATCCGGTCCGAACCGGGAGCATTTCACCCCTGGGCGGGGAGGAAGTCTGCAAGGCTGCTCGGAGCCGCAACGGGAGAGGAAGAGAAGAGGCACTTAAAAAAGAAGCTTGTAAACCAGGTTAGCCATCACTGGTCTAGAACTTCTCCCTTGAATGGATCAACACTTCAGTTCAGGGGCATCCAGCCTTCGCAGCTTTTAAGACCTGTGGACTTCAACTCCCAGAATTCCATGCTGGCTGGGGAATTCTGGGAGTTGAAGTCCACGGGCCTTAAAGCTGCCAAGGTTGGGCAGACCTTCTGTAAATAAAAGCTCAGCGCACTTTGCCAACTGCTGGGCAAACGGGAGGATCTCGTCACAAAATGAACCTTTGCCTCCTCCACACCCCAGGTTTTATAAGTACACCCAGCTTCCCCCCACCTTCTCTACCTTGAAGGTGGTCCTTTGTCTTGATATTTGCACCTGCTGCCTTAAATAATAATAATAATGATTACATGTAAGGATAAAACAGGCAGTCCTTGACTTTATGACAAGCGAACCCAACTTTTCCGCTGTTAAGCAAGACAGTTGCTAAGTGAGTTTTCCCCCATTTTACAACCTTTCCTGCCACAGTTGTTAAGTGAAGCACTGCAATTGTTCAATTAGCAACATGGATGTTAAGTGAATCTAGCTTTCCCCCTTGACTTTGCTTGTCAGACAGTCACAAAAGGGGATCACGTGACCCCAGGGACAAAAAAAGATGAACCAGCTGTCAAGCATCCAAATTTTGATCACGTGCAACTGACCGACTTGGATGCCAAATTGTGATTTTTCCCTATAGATTCTATTTGTTGTTTATTATTTTATTCCAGAATGTTTAACTGGATATTCCTTGAGTGTTTTTAACGTGCTCTGGTCCTTGTAATAAACCTTGGCTCAACTTGACCATGTGACCATGGGGGATGCTGGCACCGTCGTAAATCTGAAAAAAGGTCATGAGTCAATTTTTTTCAGCTCTGTTGTAACTTTGAATGGTCACTAAACGAATGACTTTTAAATCGAGGTCTACCTCTAATGACGAATAACCATTATTAGCCTATCTGGCATAGCAGAGAAGGCCCTGGGGAGAGCAGCTTCAAGTCCACCTTAACAGGTGACTCCTTTCCCTTTGCCAGCCTACCTTACAGGGCTGTTGTTGTGGCCAGACCTCATGGCTGCCCAGGAGACTTGCTAGAAGAAAGGAATAAACCTTGGAGCGAACCCCCCCCCCATTTTCTAGGTGCTCCGTCTTGCAAAGCATCCACCCCCCCAAGGCCAGGGACCCCCAGGAGAGCCAGCTGGGATCTCCATCCCAAGCCCCCGCACCTTTCCGGGGGGAGGGGTGGTGGAGGATCAAAGAGGAAGCTGGGCCATCCCAGTCCCCCACCCCCAAGAAAGGGAACTCAAGTGGTGGGCTGGGGGGAGCAAAGCCAGTGGGCGAATGGAGCCCCGCCCAGCCAAGGGTGCACGGGGAGGGTGTCTCCCAAAAGCCCCCCCACCGAGGAATTTCAACCCCCCCCCCTCCGCCCAGCGCCCCTCAGTTCTTTTTTTTAATTGATTTTTATTTAGCAGGTTTTTTTCCATTTTATGTCACAATTTTCATCGTCTTTGCAACAATTCAATATCAGTATATATCCAGTATAAATACATTTCCCCCTTTATCTGTGTAATTACATACGTGTGGTTTCCTTATATATACTAATATATTCATTTATGTACATTTGTATACAATACATAGTTGTTACTCTAAGTTTTTTTCTTTTTCTTTTTTGACTATTTACATTTTATATCACATCTCATCCTACTATAATCCTGAATCCGTTGTTTTTGTTGTTCTCCTAATCTTTGCATCTGTTGCCTAACCAGTCATACCATAAATTCCATATCAGATTATATTCAGTTTCTCCTCCAGTATTTCCATTGCTAATTTATCCATTTCAGCCCACTCTAACACTTTCTTTATCACACTTTCCTCTGACAGAAGGAAGGAAGGAAGGAAGGGGAAGGAAGGGGGGGAAAGGAAGGAAGGAAGGAAAGAAAGAAGAAGGGAGGGAAGGGGAAAGAAGGAAGGAAAGAAGGAAGGAAGGGGAGGAAGGAAGAAAAGAAAGGAGGGAAGGAAAGAAGGAAAGAAAGAAGGAGGGAGTGAAGGGGAAGGGAGGAAAGAAGGAGGGAAAAGGAAGGAAGGAAGGGGGAGGAAGGAAGGAAGGAAAGAAGGAGGGAAGGAAGGAAGGAAAGGAGGGAGGGAAGGGGAAGGAAGGAAGGAAGGAAAGAAAGAAGGAAGGAAAGAAGGAAGGAAGGGGAGGAAGGAAGGAAGGAAAGAAAGAAAGAGGGAAGGAAGGAAAGGAGGAAGAAAAGGAAGAAGGAGGGAGGAAAGGGGAAGGAAGGAAGGAAAGAAGGAAGGAAGGAAAGAAAGGAGGGAAAAGGAAGGAAGGAAGGAAAGAAAGAAGGAGGGAAAAGGAAGGAAGGAAGGGGGAGGAAGGAAGGAAGGAAAGAAGTAGGAAGGGGAAAGAAGGAAGGGGAAGGAAGGAAAGAAGGAAGGAAGGAAGGAGGGAAGGAAGGAAAGATAGGAGGGAGGGAGGGAAGGGGAAGGAAGGAAGGACTTTCTTTATCACACTTTCCTCAGACGGTATATTTTTATTTTTCCAGTTTGGGGCATAGACTAATCCTGGCCGCAGTTATTGCATGTAGTATGAGATATGGAGTTTGAGTTGCCCCTCGATTCTTGGTGTCCGTTCAACTGGGGGAGCCTGGGGTGGGTTGGTCTTCTCGCCCCCTCCCCTTTCCCCTTTTTGCAAACTTTCTCCCCCTCCCCCGTTTCTCCCCCCTCCCCTTTGCTCTGGCAAGTTGGTCCCCCTCCCCCTCGCTCTTCCAAGTTTGCCTGGACACAAGACCCCCCCCCGCCCCAGCTTCCCAGCCCAGCAAAAGGAGCCCCCCCCCCTTTCCCTTCCCTCTGCCCTCCCCCCTTCTTTCCTCGACAGCTGCACCCCGACAGCCCGTTCCCCGGAGCCCCGACCGCTCACCAAGTCCTCGTCCAAGGGGCTCCTCCCGGGTCAACGCCGATTCCCTTTGCCCAGCTTTCTGCTGCTGCTGCTGCTGCTCAGCCCCCCGCCCTCCCCGTCCAAGGTCCGCCCCCCCACCCCTCCGTCCCCGCCAGGGGGTGGAACTTGCAGGGAAAAACCCAGCCCACTTTGCGGTCCCGGGCTCGGCCGGCAGAGGGCGCCCCGAGGCGATTGGGGGTAAAAAAAGGCTCAGCCCCGAGGACGTGGCAGGACTTGGGAAAAATCGGGGGTCGCAAAGCGAAGCGGCTGCGGGTTTAGTTATATTAAGGGGGGGAGAGGATTGCAGAGGAAAGGTTGGGGAGCAAAGCACGCCCAGGCTGGGAAACAGTGAGGTTCAAAGGGCCTCTGAACATGGACAGAACGTGCTTCTTAGAATAGAATAGAATAGAATAGAATAGAATAGAATAGAATAGAATAGAATAGAATAGAATAGGACCTTGGAGGTCTTCTAGTCCAGCCCCCTGCTCAAGCAGGAGAACCTATACTATTTCAGATGTCCAGTCTCATCTTAAAAGCCTCCAGTGATGGAGCATCCACAACTTCTGGAGGCCAGCTGTTCCACTGGTTAATTGTCCTCACTGTCAGGAAGTTTCTCCTTAATTCCAGGTTGCTTCTCTCTGGTTAGTTTCCCACCATTGTTTCTTGTCCTGGCCTTTGGTGCTTTGGAGAATAATTTGACCCCCTCTTCTTTGTGGCAGCCTCTCAAATACTGGGATACTGCTATCATGTCACCCCTAATTCTTCTTTTCTCTTCTTCTTGTGTCATATCCGTCATTGGATGTTGGGGATCATGTTGATGATCCTATTTTTATCAGCAGCCGCAGGAAAAAATGCTGCTGAGTTTTGTCCAAACCGGTCCCTTAGATTTGGAAGCCATGATGTTCTTCTACCTTGTTTCCCTTCAGTCTTTCCTTGGAGGATTAAATGAAGGATGCTGTATTTTTCCATGTGTCGCATCACATACCCAAAATAGTCTTTCTCTTTTTAATGGTCTTTGTTAGATCACTTAATACTTAACAGTCTTGATGATTTCCCTTGGCTTTCTCAGGCGGCTTCTTTTCTCTAGACTAGCCAAACCCAAATCCTGCAACCGTTCTTCATATGGTTTAGTCTCCGGGCCTTTGATCATCTTTGTTAGATCAGGTGCAGGAAATGAAGACGTGACCAGCTCGATACATTTAGTAACTTTATTGAACAGTAACAAGACTGGCTGTGCGCTGCCGGAGCTCTCCTTATATTCTCTCCGGCAGACGCACCGCCCCTAGACAGCTATTCAAACTTCCCACCCGAGGCTGGCAGCCAATCCGGACGGGTGTCCTTATAAGGACATAACACTCCTCCCCTCCTAGTTAGAAAACAGTCACTCAAAGTCAATGAACGTCACGTAATCACGCAGGTACGTGGGACGCCTCGGCGCCCTAGTTGACCTGCGCAGTCTCACTTCTTCGTCGACGCCGACCTGGACGGACGGGGCTCCTGTGTCTCCTGGTTCCCTCCCTGGAACCAGACTTGGTTCGGCTGGCGAGTGTGCGGGGTCACTCCCAGTGCCTCCGGCCGAACCTTGGACCTCGGACTGCTGGTTCTGATGGTCTTCCTCCTGGCCTGTGCATCGGTCGTCTCGCTGTGGCCGCTCAGTGCCGACCCGGAAAGAGCGTCTGAGTCTCGGTAAGTCTCTGGTTGTCACTTGCTTCTCCCCGGTCTCCCGGGCTCCGTGGTTCGGCTGCGGTTCGGTTTTCCGTTGTCGGGGGGGATGTCTCGGATCGGTGCCCTCGGGTCCGGTCACCCGGCAGTGGGCGGTGTTGACCTTGGTCATGTGGTCCGACCTCGCCGGGTTGGTGCAGGCCTCCTTGGTCGGGGTGGCGGAGGCCTTCCTTGCCGGGCTGGCGTTGGCCTACCCTGTCGGGTCGGCGGTGATCGTCCTGGTTGGGTGTTGTTGTGGGGCTACCTCCGCGGGGCGGTGGAGGTCTCCCCTGCCAGGTTGGCGCTGGCCTCCTTGGTCGGGGTGGCGGAGGCCTTCCTTGCCGGGCTGGCGTTGGCCTACCCTGTCGGGTCGGCGGTGATCGTCCTGGTTGGGTTGTTGTTGTGGGGCTACCTCCGCGGGGCGGTGGAGGTCTCCCCTGCCAGGTTGGCGCTGGCCTCCCTGGCCGGGTTGTTGTAGGCTTTCCTTTCGCACTAGTCCCCGGTCTACCGCAGGTCGGTGGCTGGGGTCTTTCGTGCTGGGGTGTTGTTGCCGGGCTGCCCTCTGTGCTGGGTGGAGGTCCCCCTCACCGGGGTGTTGTGTGCCATCTTCACCCGTGAGCTGTGGTGTGCCCACCTTGGGCGGTCCCCAGTCTACTGTTGTCCTTGGTTGGCAGTCCTCCATGTTCTGGGCCCGTCTGCTGCCCCAGCTGGGTGGCCGGGGTTCGCCCTGGGTGAGAAGTCCCCGGTCTACTTCTCTGGCATCCTGCTGCCCTGGTTGGTCGGGTCGTTGCCTCCCCACCTCGTCGGGGGTGTTGTTGGCCTGCCTTGCCAGGGTCTGGTAGGCCGACCTTGCCGGGGTGTTGTTGGTCAACCTCGACGGGGTGTTGTAGGCCTACCTTGTCGGGTGTTGTAGGCCTACCTCGTCGGGGTGTTGTAGGCCTACCTCGGGATGTTGCAAGGCTACCTCGTCGGGCTGGTTTTGTCCTACTTCCCTCCACCTTTTCCGGAGCTGGTCGATGTGACGTCTACAGACCTGTCCATCTTCCAGCTCCACTCTGTAGGACTTCGGGCCGGTTGAGCTTTCTATCTTCCCCTTCAGCCATTTCGGAGAGCCGTGGAAATTCAATGCGAAAACCGGATCTCCTATGCTGAAGGCATGAAGCGGGCGGCTGGCCGTTGCGGTCACTTCTGGGCTGTATTGTGGGTGCAGCCGGTCCAATGGTGACCTCAGCCTTCTGCCCATCAACATCTCAGCTGGGCTCTTGTGGGTGGTGGCATGCGGCGTGATGTGTTGGGTGAGGAGGAAGTTGACAATTCTTTCCTGCCAGTCGCCCGTGCCCATTTTGGTGAGTGCCTCCTTGGTGAGTCTCACCATCCGTTCAGCCTGTCCATTCCCAGCTGGCCTGTAGGGGGCTGACAGGGCATGGCGAATGCCCAGTCCGGCCAGGAATGCCTCCATGGCCAAGGATGTGAGTTGGGGCCCGTTGTCGGAAACCAGCACATCCGGCAGTCCATGGGTGGTGAAGAGACGGCGTAGAACCCGGATCGTCACTTCCGTTGTGGTAGATGCCATGGGTACCACCTCGAGCCACTTGGAGAAAGCGTCGATGACGATGAGTAGGTGGCGCCCCTGCATCGGACCCGCGAAGTCGATGTGGATCCTAGACCAGGGGCTGCTGGGGGTCTCCCACTTCATTGGTTCGGCTTGGGGTGGCGCTGGGCGTACTTCTTGGCACGGGTCACATCTGGAGACCCATTCTTCGATGTCTCTGTCCAGTGATGGCCACCAGACGTAACTCCGTGCCAGGGCTTTCATGCGGACGATGCCGGGGTGCCCATTATGCAAGGTCTCTAGCGTTCTTCTTTGCAGAGTGCTGGGAATCAGCACTCTGACTCCCCATAGCAAACAGCCTCTCATGGTGGACAGCTCCTTTTGCTTTCTGACGAAGGGGCTGAATTTCTCCTCTGCCTTCTCCGTTGGCCACCCTCTGAGGATCCAGGATCTCACTTGGCGGAGTGTGGGGTCCTTTTGAGTGTGGGCGGCCACATCTGCAGATGAAGACTGGGCAGCTGTCGTCATTGTCGATGTGGAAGAGGTCGAGCGTGGGAGCTGGGTCTTCCACTGGATCCTTTGATGGGCATCTGCTCAGCGCGTCGGCGTTCCCGATGGACGTGCCTGGCTGGTGCACAAGCCTGTAGGAATATGGCCCATCTTGTCATCCGCTAGGAAGATGGCCCATCTTGTCATCCACGGGGACATGAAGGTCAGGGTTGGTTGGTCTCCTGCGAGGAGCCCCAGAAGCGGCTTGTGGTCAGTCACTATGGTGAAGCTCCTCCCGTAGACGTACTCGTGGAATCGTCTTACTCCTGCGACGATAGCCAGAGCCTCTTTGTCCAGCTGACTGTAATTGCGTTCCGCGCTGGACATCGTCTTGGAAAAGTATGTTATTGGGGTTTCTGAGCCATTCGGAAGTTCATGGCTGAGGACTGCCCCCACCCCGTATGGTGATGCGTCGTAGGTGAGCTTGATTGGTAGCGTCTCGTTTTATTGTATGAGGACTCTTTTGGATGTTAAAAGTCCTTTGACGGCCTGAATGCTGCTTCCTCCTCTTGGTCCCACTTCCAGGAAGCCGCTTTCCCCAGCAGGCGGTGGAGTGGCTCAGCAATCGTGGCTTTCTGTTTGAGGAACATGGCATAGAAGTTAAGCAATCCAAGGAATGCCTGAAGCTCCGTTTTGTTTTTTTGGCTGGGAGCTTCATGGATAGCTTTAACTTTTGATTTGGTGGGGTGGATGCCCGTGCCATTTATGAGATAGCCCAGGAACTCAAACTCCTGGACTCCTAAGATGCATTTATCTCTCCTGACTCTCAAACCCTTGGCCTTGAATCACTGCAGGACAAGCCTGAGTCTTTCAAGGAGTTGTGCTTTGGAATCTCCGGAGATTAATACATTGTCAAAGTACGGCACCACCCCGGAACGCCTTGGAGAAGGCGTTCCATCATTGATTGAAAGATTCGGGGGGCAGCGCTGACTCCAAATTGGAGACAGTTGCATTTGAATGCCCCCCTGTGGGTGACTATCGTTTGGGCCTCTGCCATCTTTTCGTCCACTGGCAGCTGCTGGTAAGCCTGGGCCAGGTCCAGTTTGGCAAAGATTGAGCCAGTCCCCAGAGAATGCAGCAGATGTTGCACCACTGGGACTGGGTATGTGCTCTGCGGCAATGCCTTATTGATTGTACACTTATAGTCGGCGCAGATGCGCACAGACCCATCATGCTTCATTGGGGTCACAATGGGGGTTTCCCATGAAGCATGATCAATTGGTTCCAGAACGCCCTGGGCGATCAGCTTATCTAGCTGAGCGTCTACTTTTGGCCGCAAGGCAAACG